AACCAGCACGGATCAGCTCCAGGCATGATGAAGCGGATAGCGTCCTCTTTTGGAAGACCAAACAAAGTAGTTTTGTTTTCACAATATATAATGTATACATTACTTTCCCCACATTTATCAGCTTGCAAAGAGTGTGCAGCACTTTCTCTTTCTTCCTTTCCTTCTTATATTTGTCTGTTTTGCAGCTATAATCTAGAGAGCAGCACATGGGATATAGTTCCAATCAATGGTGGCCCTCTGCAGTGCTATGGACACACTCTGGCTCTTCACAAGGTAAACACACTGCTGCTAATCACCACACTTTGCATAACTTAACGTGAAGTGACGCGTAGCCAAGTATGGCGTCCTATACTCGGAGCGCTGTTCATTCACTCCCCCCACCTACAATCCCTGCCGGTACCAAGACTTGAACCTTTGGGTTAAAAGTCAGACTCTACTGCCTTAGTGAGTGATTTGACTGTTTGCCATTACAATTCAGAATGTGTGATTTCCACTTGAAAAGATGTGACCTCAGTCATTGTTGTTCATAATGTTACAGGGTCAGATAGTGTTTAGCTACGTATTGCACCGAGTAGCATATACTTTAATAATTTTGTAGCAACAGTGCCCACTAGTGTTTATTTTTATCAGCTAATGTAGTAATCAGTGCCTTATAAAACCCAGACAGACAGTTTATGATTTTTTTTGTGTGATTAGAGATCCTTACACCGTTGATTTAGCATTGTAGCTTTTAGCTTAGCAATGTAGCGATTAGCATAACTGTTACATTTTTCATTATTTACTGATAAACATTTTTTGTGTGTATTAAACATGGGTACTTGATCAAATGCATTCTCTGTGTTAAATTATGTTTTTAGTTGTGTTAAAAAAAATGACTTCCTCTTTCCAAATCTTACTGCACGTTTTCATTGAGTTCCTTCTCTTTGTTTATTCTACTTGTTAAATGAACATGCTGACATAAAAGCTGTTAAAGTAAGCTAAGTATTGATTTGTTATAGTAAAGTGGTAAGTTTTGTTTCGTCTGGAGTGGACTAACAAAAGAAAAGCTGTGCTGCATTGGCCGGGAATCGAATCTGGGCCTCCCGGTAATGTGGGGCTGAGGCACACATGGCGTCTAAAACCAATGCGATGAAGCAGGAGCGTCAGCAAAGAGAGTACAGAAACTGTAGAAGTGTACATGAGAGAGAAAAGGGAAGAACTTGAGAGTATGGTGATTGCAGCCCCACATGACCACGGGAACTCCCATCACTTTTTCATGTAAGCATTGGTGGTTCAGTGGTAGAATTCTCGCCTGCCACGCGGGAGGCCCGGGTTCGATTCCCGGCCAATGCAACACAACTTTTCTTTTGTCAGTCCAGAAAAAAAGTGACTACTTTATCGGAACATTAAAGTAAGTACTTGGCTTAGCCTGCCTATTTAATTAAGTTATTTAATTTAATTAATTAATTAAAGTAGAATGACGAAAGTAAAGGAACAATGGCAGAAACAGCTGGAAAGAGGAAAATAAAAACATAATTTAACAGTTAATGCATTTGATCAAGTACCCATGGTTTTCATCCCAAAAACAGAACTTAAAAAAAAAAAGTCTATTATTGTGACAATTTATTCAAAAATACACGTCAAATCAGAGGGTTCACTTTTTTTTCTGTGGACAAAAAAAAATAAAATGTTGTGTAAATCAAGTCTGGGTGTGTGAAAATATTAAATCAAAGTCAAATCAGAGTTGTTTCTTGTCAAATGTACAAGTAGGCCTACCATGTATGAAGTACAATGAAAATCTTACTTGAATGCTTCTCCACAGGCTATAGACAAGACAGAATACAATAGGCATTATTGCTGCATTATGTACAAAAATATGCACAAGAATAAACTGGACTCCTTTACAGCTAGAAAGCCACTGTCATCCCTCTAGGCTCCATTTTCTTTAGATAACAAACTAAAACGGGCTTTAATTTTGGTTGAGACGCATGCTGTCACGCACTACTGTGATGTATGTTTAATTTAAGAAATAGGGTGAAGTTATTCCGTACACAACTGTCAATCACATGCTTTCTGATGAATTTTCCACTGCAGGGTGTTCGTTTTCACCACCAGAGCCTGTAATAATGTCTGTGGATTCATAAGAATGTTTATACTGCTATTGGTTTCAAAGATACACTCACTGAGTCTGAAGGAAATAAGCAGGAGCTTTCTCTCAGTCCACAGTGTAAACTGGTTTCACTGGGCTATTTTTAAATGAGTATAATAGAGCAGTGGATATACCTGTGCAACAGTTTAGTGGTCACCAAGACCTCACACTTGTTCATTATGCATATGAAGAGTTCAGATGAAAAAGCCTCTAAGTGCCATCTGAAATGTTCTTCTAAAATTAGCATTTTTATCAGACTCCTGTTTAGGTTCAGTAATTTTATTTTAATGGCAATGTATAGGTCCTTTTCTATGCCATTAAAGTGAAATAAATGAACATAAATATTGGAGCCTGATAAAAATGCTCATTTTAAATTTCACATGGCACTCTTCACCAGTGTTGGGGGTAACGCATTACAAGTAACGCGAGTTACGTAATCAGATTACTTTTTTCAAGTAACTAGTAAAGTAACGCATTACTTTTTAATTTACAAGAGAATATCTGAGTTACTTTTTCAAATAAGTAACGGAAGTTACTTTTTTTTCCAATTTATTGACTGACAGCTCTCCTGTCCCCATGTTGAGAGAAATCAGAAGATGTTACTGTAGTTCTAAAATAAATATGAATATGCATTAATTCATCTCTCACACAAAAAAAAAAAACCCAGCTTCAATATTCCTCAAAATGAATAAAAATAATGCAACTCAGAATATGACGCAAACCTGCAATAATTAAATGTTAAACAACACAAATATGCTTTATGTATTTAATCCCATTCTATTAACCCAAGTCTTTGCTTCTGACCTTCGATGATCCAGTTCAATCATAATAATAAGCACAAATTACTCTAGACAAACATTTGTGTGTTCCGTAAAAAGTAACTAAGTAACGTAATTAGTTACTTTTTTATGGAGCAACGCAATATTGTAATGCATTACTTTTAAAAGTAACTTTCCCCAACACTGCTCTTCACATATACATACACTTTCTCTCTCATGTGCAGTGCACAGTATGTTTTTAATTGGCTGCCTTCATTGTGGCAAAAGGTCCAGATCTTCTTTATGCACCAAGAGCTTGTAACACTCCAAAGAGAAAGGAAAAATTTAAATCGCATCATATGACCTCTTTAAAGTAATTGTTTTGTCCAAAATACACACGACTTTCTTTAAACTGTCATCTGGCAGATGTCTTTATTTGTCGAATGCACTTTGATGAAAGGAATGCAGTAGCAGGCTAGTGAATATGCATTTACGGAGGATTATAGTTTGTGCATGCTTGTGTGTGTGTACATGCACACGAGTTCAGTCAGCAGAATATGAGATGGCTTTTTGTTTACTGTTTCATGAATCATACAGCACTTTCATGAATCAGCAGTCTGCACTTTTATCTGAACCAAATAAATGTGCAGATATCCTTAAATTCTTCTTTTCCATTCTGATGGAAATGCTTTTTTTTTTTTTTAAAGAAGTCTCTTATGCCCACCAAGGCTGCATTTATTTGATCCTAAATACATAGAAAAACAGTAATATTGTGAAATATTATTGCAGTTTAAAATAACGGTTTTATTTTTTTAAATACAATTTAAAAAAAAGGTTTTGGAACCTGTGATCCCTTTTTTTCAGTTTTTTTTTTGACAAAATATTTCTATTTTGAATAAATGCTGTTCTCTTTACTTTTTTTATTCATCAAATAATTCTTGAAAAAGTATCAATCAATAAGCTGCACAACTGTTTCCAACATTGATAATCAATCAGCATATTAGAATGATTTCTGAAGGATCATATCACACTGAAGACTGGGGTAATGATGCTAATTCAGCTTTGCGTCAGAAATAAATGAAAATAGAAAACCATTATTTTAAGCTTTGCGTCAGAGAAATACATTTAATTTTAAAGTACATTAAAATAGAAAACCAGTATTTTAAATGTCACAATATTACTGTTTTTACTGTATATTTAATAAAATACATGTACCTTTGATGAGCATAAGAGCCTTCTTTAAAAAACATTAAGAATCTTACTGATCCCAAACTTTTAAATGGAATTGCTAAATAAAATAATTGTTAAAATAACTGTTTTATATTTGAATATATGTTTAAATGTAATTTATTCCTGTGATGCAAAACTGAATTTTCAGTAGCAATTTCTCCACATGACGTATCACATGATCCATCTAAAATTCCTTATTATCAACAGTTGTGCTGCTTAATATCGTTGTGAAACATTTTGTCTGATATATAAAATGTTAAAAACAACAGCATTTATTTGAAATAGAAATATTTTGTAACATTATAAATGTATTTACTGTAATTTTTGTTCAATTTAATGCGTCTTTGATTAATAAAAGTAGAAATTACTTAAATCTTACTGAGCCCAAACATTTGAACAGTAGTATTTGCAAAAAAAAAAATACACAAAATAACTATTATTGTAATGTAATATATTACATTACACATATATATCGCCGTTGTAATCGGAGTTTAGGGGATTGGCCTATTTGACCTGAGATCAACTCATAACCTGTCTAAACTTTGTAAACACCACAGAGTAATAGTAAAGAGACTAGTTTTCCATAGTTGTATGCTCAAGTTTGAGTCATGTTTTTGTTAGTTAAAGAGATGCAGCAGTGTCACTAGATTTGAGTCTGTTCTCCATGGAGTCCTTTCTAGATGCAGTGTATTGATTGGCTGTTTACACAGGAGAATATGTGCTACTGTGAAGCTGGTAAATTGGTCTCCAACTTTAGCTCAGCCTGAGGTGATGTAATACCACAAATGCTTGCACAAGAACTCATGTCATCTTAATTTATCCACTCTATCCTTTGCAGGATGATATCTACATGTTTGGTGGGAAGCTGGAGTCCGGCTCCGGTAACGTAACAGATGAACTGTGGCTGTTTGATACACGTAGCCGGTCTTGGTCCCTCAGAACACCCAGCCCTGGGCTGCAGGTCCAACCCTTCGCTGTGGAGGGACATACCGCTCACATAGTGGACACCAGGAATGGAGAACCCATCATGGTGGTGCTTTTTGGCTATTCACCCATTTACAGCTACCTCAGCCACATCCAGGAATACAACATTCGTAAGTACTGATATGTGCCTGTGCCTTAAAATAGATTCAGAATTTCATTATTAAGAAAAATATTGTTCACATGAGCCGAGAGTGTAGTTTCATGACAGAGACTGCATTGATGTCAATCTGACAAACACAGACAGTTCCTCTGACTTCCAGCAGATGGCAGTGTATTATAACATTTAATTAGCGTAGCGCTTTAGTGATGACATGGTGAGTTGACATGGCCAGACTCATTAAAGTGAAGGTTTTCCACTTTATTTTCTTTCGGTTGTATTTTCTACTCGACTCGCTCCACTCTCTGTCACAAACACACACCCACTCAAACGCACACTCATGCTTTAGGTCATTAAGAAGCGGTGGTACCTGAAGTGCACTGTCTGGGATTGAACAATGATTCATTTGTCTGAGCTCTGTTGAGGCTCCACTTAAATCTCTCTTTCTCATGCTCTCGCTTTCCCCCTCTTGCTCTTTCTCCATTCGTTCTCTCTTAAATGAATACATGAGCTTATTAAAGCTGGTGAAAATGATGGCAAACGCACCTCACTACACATCTGTTAAAATTGATGACATAAAGAACTTGGCGAAATTAGAGTGAAGCAATATTTGAAGAGAGGCTTTCTTAAACTTTAGATATAGGTAAAAATTCAAGTGATGTAACAAGTCAGAAAAGCAGTGAAAGGCAGAGACCACTTGACCCTGGGATCCTATGTCTCTGTAACACTTAGTCATGTGTAATTCATCAGAGATGTTCTACCAGAGAGCAGCAACTAACCAGTCTTGAAATCAGACATGCTAAATGTCAGCATGTTAGAAGTTGTTACACCACAATGTTAGCTTCTGTTTAAAAATTAGTTTTAATGTATTTATTTATTTTTATTCTCTTAATTTGAAGAAAAAAGGTTGAAAAACATTGTTGCATTGGCCGGGAATCGAACCCGGGCCTGCCAGTTTTAATGTATTTATTTATTTTTATTCTCTTAATTTGAAGAAAAAAGGTTGAAAAACATTGTTGCATTGGCCGGGAATCGAACCCGGGCCTGCCAGTTTTAATGTATTTATTTATTTTTATTCTCTTAATTTGAAGAAAAAAGGTTGAAAAACATTGTTGCATTGGCCGGGAATCGAACCCGGGCCTGCCAGTTTTAATGTATTTATTTATTTTTATTCTCTTAATTTGAAGAAAAAAGGTTGAAAAACATTGTTGCATTGGGCGGGAATCGAACCCAGGCCTCCCGCGTGGCAGGCGAGAATTCTACGACTGAACCACCAATGCTCACGTGACATATGTGTTTATTGACACGTGGTCTTCCGTGGCCTCTCCTGTAATGTTTCTCTTTTTCCTCTTTATTTTTAATCATTACTTTTCACTCTTACTGCCTTTTATTCTTCTCAGAAGTTTCATTGTTGCACCCATCCTGCCCCTCACTAGATTTTAGACATAGATTCTTAGATTATACATAGATTTGCTAGACAGAGATTTTAGTTTCCTTCCATGTAAGATCAATGAATGGAACATTAAAATTGTGTTTCAAGCATATGTGCTCAAATATTTTAGCACTTAAATACAACAACAACAATAATAATAATAATAATAATAATAACAATAATGTATAATAAGGGTCCACTGAAGGCGAGCATTGTGAGAACCCAAGTGCAGTTTTATTATATTCCAAAAGTTAGTAGATAAACAGTAAAGGCTTGGCTTGGCCTGGCCTGGCTGGCATTGTCTCACCAACAGTTGATTACAATCATATTTCAGTTTATTTCCATCATTAGTAACAGTTTCCCCTGTGGGACAAATAAAGTTAATATTAGACGTATATTAATAATAGGCTACTTCATTAACTTTGTTATTTACTACCCCTGTTGTAGTATTATTCATAAGTAAAAACCAACAAGATTTTTTTTTCACCATGTTTCCAAATTCTCTACCCCAGGTCCAAAAGAAATGTAAAGAATATACAAACTGAAAACATTAAATACTTTTATGATCTATTTCCATTTGTTATTTTCAAAAGAGAAATACTGTCATGGATGTTTACAGAGCAGAGGTCACCTTTTTCTTCATTCCAATGGGAGAGATGGACGTTTGTTTGTCTTTTGTTTATTATTATTTTGTGCTGTATTAAATAGCAATAAATAACACTTTAATATCTAAAGAGTGTTCATGTAATTTTATACATTAGTAATGTTGGGAAATGAATACATGCATAATAATCGTCATAATTGTAAAACTGTGATTATTCCTCAGACAATAATCGTACAAACAAAATCTATAATCGTTGCATCCCTAATTTTTACATAATTTTGTATGTATTTGGCCGTTTACGCGCAATAAAGCCCCGTTCACACTGCCAGCGACAAAGCGACATGCTCCCATTCACTTTCAATGGAGAGCTGGCGACTTCCAGGCGACAGTGACCGTTGGCGACAGAATGTGGGCGTGTCAAGCGACAAAAGTTAAGAATTGTTTAACTTTATGCAAATGAACAGAGAATTTCGCGAGCGACAACAATAGGAGTGAAGAATCTGTCAGTGGCGCTCACACGTCACCGTCTCGAGTGCAGGCAAGACAGGACAGTATTTTTATTTCTTTTGTGAAAGTCGCTCTATGTGCGTGCGCTTTGGGTGTGAGCTCACAGAAAGCAGTCTCACAGTTTAAAATTGTAAGACTCAAAAGCACGTGCAAATGATACATTCCGTCATCTGTCCCGAGCGACTTTCACACTGAAATATTTATGGGAATTTCCCGTTTACAAGCGTGGAAACTGAAACACCCGCCAGTTGTATCAAAAAGCAGCCCAAATTTTATCAACTCGCCCAGCGCATTTTTTTCCCGGTCTGACGTTACCAAAAGAAGCCCAATTGTGCGGGAACCCTCCCAATCTGGCAACACTGCCAACAGTAGATACAGGCAACAAAGATAGACAAAAGACAGTGGCAACATGAGGGCTATCTATACACAAGACTAAATGACTAAACAAGGAACACCTGTGAACAATCAAGACAATGACCTAATCACAAAACAGAACTAAGAGCCACATGACCAAATCAACCAATAAGAACAAGTCACATGAACAAGACAACCAATAGCAGGATTAAATAAGGGCAAGGGAAACACATGACAGGATCCATAACTATGAAAAAGACAAAATAAAAGAAATGATAACATGAACGTAAAAACATGAAAACCCAAAACCAACCGTGACGTAATAATAATAATAGTAATAATAATAATAATAATAATATATTAATACCACGTTTAGGCATGTGCTATAGTAATTTTTTTACTATACTTTTTAATTTTAATGGTTATTTAAAAAAAAAAAGTTTACTATACAAGTATGGAGTCCCATACTGGGAATTTGTGCTCTGCATTTAACCCATCCAAGTGCACACACACACAGGGCAGTGGCACCCGGCAAGCAGTTCGGGGTTCAGTGCCTTGCTCAAGGGCCTCACCTCAGTCATGGTCAGAGGCGGACAGTAACTAAGTACATTTACTTGAGTATTGTACTTAAGTACACTTTTTGAGTATCGGTACTTTACTTGAGTATAATTTTTTCTGGAAACTTATGACTTTAACTTCACTACATTTGAAAGACAAATATTGTACTTTTCACTTCACTACATTTCTATCAAGATCCTCAAAGTAGAAAGTCGTTAGCAGCTTTGAAAGTCAGTGGGTGATTTTTTTTCTTCTCTAAAAACTGTCTTTTTTTCAGACAGTTTATCAGTAATCACTCTTGGGGCTACATAAAGTGATTTCCCAGCATTTTTTGAGCACTGACCAGTTCCAAATGTGATATTTATTTACAACAATTCAATAATAAGAAGTTAATATTGTGGTTTATATTAGACACAATATTGTCTGATTTTGCTAAATTGTGTAAGTGAAAATATTACCTATAAAGCCACAGAAGAACTGTTGTGCGTCTCCTAATAAAACACAAAAGGTGTTTGACTTGAAGTAACACTGCACAGACCATTCTGTGTATGACATCAAAGTACTGCAAGAGCGATCAGACAGCATTTTTTAATTTTTTGTTTTGATGTCAAATAAACCTTGCTGTTTTGATTTTTTGTTAAAGCAGTGTTGCTGTTGTAAAATTATACAGCTACAGTTGTGTTGCTGGGTTTTAAAGCAGGTTTGATTTTTTATTTTCTTCCTTATCAGTCTGTATT